TCAGTTAGAAAAGGCTCTAAGTTCCCGACCGGTCTCTCGGGATGTGTGGTTCTCTACTGCATGCAAGTGTAAGGTCAAATTCAGGCGCTGTTTGGAGGAGACTTCTAGCGGCCGGCTGTTCTGATCGGTAATTTTTCGTGATATCTCCAATCAACATCAGGAGAATGACGGAGCGGTGCCCTAACAATTAGGCAACGAACCGCACGCGATCTTTCCTTCCTCCTCCTCGCCCTATTCTCACCCCTTATACACTCACTAACATGCACTACACAACACACATTCTGGGAGACCAGTCGGGAGTATTGAGCTTGTTTCGGCTGTGATGGTGACCCTCTGGTGGGAGATACCTGGTTGAGGAAAACCCCTGCTTGCCGACGTGTCGTTTGGTGCCGGATCTCACCATTCAGCAGGGGAAAATCTCCGTCCCTTCGCGTACAAAACACATGCACTACAGGAGTAATGGCCTTAGCAGTTGTTGCGTCCGAAAACCCGACATAACCGATCCATCAACCGTACGATAAACCGAGGAGAGAAGCGACCTGAAGGGCAGCGAAGGCTGAGGGGGGTCAGGGGACTGGAAGAGCGTTTGAGGGGCCAAAGCGTCAAACCCGGGGGGCTGGCGCGTCAGCGTGGACGGGGGCAGCCGGCGGTGCGCTATGGGTTAATGAGAGAGCAACCAGACAGCCCGACGAACCTCCCACCTGTTCATCTCCCACTCGGCGGAAGGGCTCTTCGGAGCCTCTTGCGTGCACGTCACGTGACACGACGCAATCCTGCGCAACTCAAGAGATGCACGTTAGGGTCAACATGGACACTTTGTTGCCAACTGCTCAAAACAAAAACCGATTCAAACGTGACATCGTCTTCAATATGTGCATACATCGCGAGCGAAATGATTTTTTGTGGTAAATTGTTGTTGTTGTTGTTGATAGTCGTTAACCGTCGTTTTGATCGTCGTTTCCTCCTTCCGCTGCTCTTTGTGAACTGGGACCTAAAAACATGACATCTCATGAGAATGTTCTTCACATATTATAAAAAGTTTTTCGTTATCGCTTTAACAATCATTTCACACTGAGCGTACATTCCTGAAACATTACAAATCTTTCTGCAAACGACACTAGGCTAGTGAAATTTTCGAAGTAAAATAGTTATTTTATTATTATCACCATCAGCAGCAGCAATAGCAAAAATCATGAACTAGAACCAAAAATCAAAACGTATTCACCAATAATGCTTGTTGAAATGTGTTAGAATGTGATAACCGTATTTTGGAATCCTTGTCCATTTTCATTCTTTATAAATTATATTACCTGACATTGTCTCAATACAAAACTAATACAAGAACTCTAGTGTTCAGTGTAAATCGAAGCCGAAACCTTGTACATTGGAGGCGTGTATAACTAACATGGACTCTACGCATAAAATTTCGGAAGTCATGTTTGAATATAAATTTTTATTGAACTTGGTTGTCTTGAATTAACATGAGTTTCTTGCTTTTAATAATGTATTAGTGTTATGAAGTTTGGAAATTATATTCCCGACATTCGATTGAGCTGCAACTCCATTTTGGGGGACATTGGCGGCTACTGCTGCCAAGTTGGGTCCAGTAGTCTCTGAAAAACAAGTAATCGGAAAGGGAGACTCAGGGTAGTAATATTTTAAATGTAGAACTTTGTGTATTTTAGAATTGGGTGTGATTTTCTATATTCTTCTTGTGATTTTGAGTTGGCTTCAGAATTTTTTCAATGTTGTGCGTTGGCATCATTATAATTTGAGGTACTTTTGTAAACTAGTTACAATATTTACGGTAGTTAAACTTGTTGCATTAACTTTAAGCTTATGATGTGACAATAAAAAATGAAGAATTTTAAAAGAGTATGATCCTTGTATGAAATTATCTTCTCCGGGAAGCTGGGTTTGATCATCTTTCCATCGAACAATACTTGTTTTATAACATCAATTTACTCATGAACACGTATTTACTAATTTAAAGTATTGATAATTCCTTTATCCATCAATTGTTTATAATGCAATCTGAAAATTACCGGTCTGGATAACCGAGGTCCATTAGCTCGAAGTGTTGCGGGTTCGAATCTCACCTCGGTCATGGATGTTTGTGTGTGATAGTGTTTGCCATATGTGTTCATCTTACGTTAGAACCATTACAGTGGACGCTAGATGAACCAGTTGTTAAAACGCGACCTTACAAAAAACCTCAAAATGACTTTGTACTAATCCTTCAATTAATTATACGGAATCGTAATTTGTACGAGTATATTTAATGAAGCTGCTTGCAAATTTATGTTCGTGGCGATAACCAAATAGCCTCTTTAGCTTTAAAAGTATCCCAAAGTAGAAGTGCAGTTCCAAAGGCAAATGGCAAATTGATGATCCACCGCAAAGCAAGGCGGTCTAGTTGCGCTGCGGGCACTGAGTGATGGGTGGGCTGCGCACTTGCTGTCGCGCAGAGCCAGCACTTGGGCCAGCACTTGGGCCGTCGCTCGCGCTGCAGCCGCCAGAAGAGGAATCGCCTTCAGCTCACGAGAGCCCTTCGGCCGGCACTCGCGGTGCCTCCCACATTCGCCGCGAGGGGCGCTAGCGTCTCCCCTCCCCCACCCTCCTACCGTGGACTTGGTCGCCACTCGAGGTCTCTCCACGCAGTACCGTTTCTGCGCGCTTTTCATGCTATGAGTGCTGGAGACAAAAAATATTTACAACTTCAGTCATAGCTATTTACAAACAACATCGCCCCAAGAGGTGCATCATGTTTGCAGCGACAGTGGATAGCAGTTGGACTGCTAGCCTTCCACCGCTGGTACTGGGGTTATGTTATATCCATGCTCTATACTGGGGTGCTCTATCCACTCGGAATTAATGGAATTCACAGTGCAGAGTGAGGATGGAGAATCGCCCTGATGCTTGAAAGAGAATCAGGATTGAAAGACAGGATTGCCCTCCGGGACACATTTTGGTTCTGTTCCAGCATTTTCATGGAATTGATCGGAGGAAGCTTCAAAAACATCCAATCAGAGCGGCCGACCTTAAGATTCGTTATCCAGAGAGTGATTCGATTTTCTTAATGGGTGAGGAAAATCTACCACCATTGGGACTCGAATCAGCGACCCTGGTCTTTAAAGCTTTAGTTACGAACATGCAATATTTCTAGCTCGCTGGTAATGACTTTATATCCAACAAAATGAAATATTGTGATAAAACACACTAACTTCAGATCTTGATTATTTTCGAATCGTACGACTTAATCACTCGTAACAGTTGGGGGATGAATATGGAAGTCAGTACTTATTGATAGTGTGATGAACTAATTACTAAAGCATTTCACTTGTCGACAGTAATAAAGGCGCTGAAATCTGATACAATCTGTTACTTTAAAAAACTCCACAAATCATCTCTTTTCCTGAATGCTGTTGTAACACAAAACGTGAAAATGCGAGCGCGATTTGATTTCCCAGTAGCTTAATATGCTTCCCTTTAAACGACGCTATTTAAGCTACATTAATAATGCTTATATATGTTGGTTTTTGAATTTATGAAAATGAATTTTATGACCTGTGAATTTTTGGACAACATTATTTCATGAAAATAAATAGCGATCTCCGTCAACGAAATAGCTTTGTATCTACTTGCAAGCGGCAATTGGTATTATTTCTGTCAGAGATAAAGACTTATTCCATTTAATAGTTTTTTGAACTGATCTCCCCTTATATCTCTATTTTCGATGTTTTTGAGTTACAACAGTAAAGCGACGAAAAGTAAAAGGAGCCGTAGGGACTGATATTATAGCGATAGCAATTAGATACTCGAAAAAAGTAACAGCGAAAAAGAGCTTTTTCAACGATAATGAAAATACGTTATAACTAAAAATCTAAAAATAAGAGAATATGAACTCATTATTATTTCATCACCAACAAAATTAAACAATAATTTTGTTCAGCTGAGATACAATTGATACATCCACAAGATCTATTAATGCACCAAAACTTCCACAATGCAAATGCTATTTATAATAGTAATTAACGGAATGAGTATATAAAGAGGGATATAATAGCATAAATGGTATGTTCGAGACAACGAGCGATGACAGGAGCAGTTATCTTATTTATCATAAGTGCAATGATATTATGGTTCGTTCAATATTTTTTGTTTCCATTATAGAATAATTTTAATTTTGAGAAATTCAATCATGTCTTTACCATCAGCGGTATGTATTTGATGACGTCATATTGGTTTTCAACCAGACCTACTGTAGTACACCTTGCAGTGTATATTTACGATTACTTTAGTGTCTTAGAGAATAATTGTAATTGATAGTTACGTTTGAAAGTGAACAATATTTAACGCATTCCGGTTGAAGTATTAGAAGAAGCTGACAAAGCCATGAAAACATTACTTCGTAAGAAAAGTAAGGGCGTATATGAGAGAACAACACGTGTTAAAGTTGAAAGGAGGAAGACGATTCAGTTCTGACTGACGTTTTGCTGGTGTACTATCCAGAGTGGATAATGCAGCTGACGATTACATTTTTATAGTTTCTAATTTAACTTACTGTACTACAAATACAAGATTGTCTAAGAAGTAAATGTTATTCGTTTATAATTTTGTTTCATTCGTTCACTGATTATGTTTTTGATGTAAGTAATATGTGATGTACATTTTTGTTCTTGTTTCATGGCCTTCAGGAAACGTCTGTATTATAGATACAAAAAAAAATACAAAAAAACAAAACAATTTCGATTAGTTCTCTGAGTTGTGATTGACTATCGTAGACTTTTAATTGCACGTTTAAATTTTAATTGCACGTATAGCATACACATGGTGATAATCAACGATTTTCATGGAATTAATTGTAATCATTAGTTAGTTCATTAAACAAAAAATATTTTAATGAATAATTTCGCACTAGCAAATCAAATTTACATTAATGTGTTCTAAGTTATGATAACTCTGAATCCCTTTTAATTCTGTGTACAAGTGACAAAAGAAATGATATTTTTTGGTTGTGTTGAGTGGCCCCCCTGCTTCGGTGTTCCTAGGATTCTCCGGCGTTCTAGCATTTGTATGCTGTTCCTCGTGCGGTGAAGGTGAAATAGTATCGTGACTCGTGAGTGACACTGAGTGGTCTTTGTATAGTTTAAATGTCACATTTTACAATGTTCTTTTAATTGAGTGAAACATATAACAGTACATATATAATGCTTTAAAACCATTTGTAAGATACGAATAATGTGCAGCAGTCTAGGTGTGCTTCATTAGAAGAAGACATGTTCTGCAGTAATCAACATGTAATGGATGTAAAGAAGAAAAACACTGAAAGGACATGGCTGACAAGGTAAGTTTCGATCTCTGAAAATGTAATAACATTTATTTAAATTTAATTTAAATTGAACATTTATTTAAGTAAACAATTAAAACTTCCCTTTGGCAGAATTCAATTTCGTAAAACGTTCGAATGCACTTTCGGTGGTTATTCATTATTTTACAAAAAAAGTATATTGCTAAAATAGTAAGAAATAGAAGAAGTAACCACAATTACCAACCACGCATAAAATACTCGTAGTCTAAATGAATAGTAGAAATGAAGAAGTAAACATTTCTGTCATTTTCACTACTGACGGGCATTGTCCTTACTCATACTTAAGTTTTCAGTATTTCGTTTAGGTTTATCTGAGGAAAGAGAGAAATGATACTTGTTCTTGATGCAAAAAAAATTAATTTTGTTCAAATAACCTTGAATGTATTTACACATGGCTCGTTCCAACTTTACAGCTTGACGTTTCTGCTGTTCACTGTTATCCCACTCGTGGAGTAAGCTCAGTGGCTTAAATATTCCGTCAAGGAAATAATTTTCCTCTCGTTGACGGCAATTAGCAGACATTTGCACTTGACTTCTCTCCGGACGATAAACTGTAAAGACGTTACCGAGAGTCACGCTACCTTCGAGGCCGTGCCAGACGGCTGATTCAGGCCTCTTCGAAGAACTTTCGTGACACCAAGTGCATGTCACAACGTTTGAACTAAACAATTCTTAATTGTTTTCCGTTTTGGCAACTTCATCTTTGATGCATTTATTATTGATTTGTAAAAAGTTATTTACGCACAGTGATTCAATATTTGAGGTTAAACCTCTATGATAGAGAATGGATTGGGTAGAAGGAAATAGTGCTGACACTAACTACACAAGTGTATTTGACATTCATCGCTTTCTTCTAACTTCGTTAATACTCTACTCAAAGATATAACGAAACTATCATTGCCTAATATTGTAATAAATGTTAAAAGAAAAGAAACTCAAATTCACCCAACGTTATTTGGATATTTACTGGTATTTAATTCCTGATGAAATGATCATATTGGCTGCTCTCGCTTCACAAAACGATACGTTTTCATTAGAAATGAGTGACATTGACTTCCGAAGCTGCCATGTCGCGTAGAACTCTGACAGATTGTTCTCAACTCTATTAGTGAGACAAATGTAATTACTAGGGATTTATTCCATTATGTCGATTTTCTTAATCGTGGAGAAGACTGTGATCGAAACGTAAATTTGACTTATTTACGACATTAAAATATCAAAAGAATTCACGTTTTAAACTCTAGTTTAGGTAGCTGTGATAATTCAAGCGGGATGCTAGAAACTAAAGATTTAATCACTCTCTGTAGAGCATTTTAGTGATTTAATTATTTATTGTTTGGATCTGATTTTTCTGTTCTGGATCATTTGGAAAAACTTTGCAAATACTTAAATGTCAATTACTCTGAAGTCACTGGATTTTTATATGTTGCTATTTTATTACTTTTTCAAAATGAGCAGAAATTAAGACAGCATTATTTTCAGTTCATATTGAACTTTGCCAATAGGTTTGAGGGGGAATATTTCTTCTGCACTTCTAACCGCACTTTACAAACTTGTTATTCATTGAAATGTTTTAAAATAGACCTTACAGACAGAATACGCAGAACATTACCGAAACACACTGCAGCTCAGAGGGACAAAACAAAATAAAATGTCTCAAATATTTATTTTTGTAAATATTTTGGCCTTTTTGGATTTCTAACTCGTTATACTATTTTTTTTCAGTTTAATTTTTTAACATAGTCGTAGTTTCTTGCTGAAATCGGAGAGTACGCGGCTCAATTTTTCTCGGAGAACTCTGAATACATTCTAAAATTCTATTAAACTTAACTCTCCACAAAAAGGTGTAATTTTACACGTGTTCATTTAAATAAATAAAAACGAGTTATAACACCATTTTGCTGCGGGGTTGTTCTTTCATTTTTATAAATGAAGACGAGGGGCATGAAAGGAACATGCGTGTGTTTGGCCTTCACCTGTCAAATGTTCACAGCTCACTGCGCGTCCGTGCACGACAGCTCACGCGAGTGTCTGCGTATCGAGCAGCGTTTCCTTGTAAAAGTGAAGGTTGCTCTATGAGCGCATTAAACATTTTCTTAGAAAAGCCCAAGTTGGGCGCCTTAGGAGGATGTGCGTGAACGCTCTATTTTTCTGCTCCTCCTTTTCAGCGGCTTTAAAAACCCCAAGGTTTCGAGGCTTTCAAAGCGGATGAATACCCTCGGAACGGAATAAAAGGGAACTTCTCGAGTTTACATATTGCCGAATTGTGCATGATATTAATTTAAATTTGTTAAGATAATGATGTTTCACGGAGACGATCTGCATTCCGATTGAAAGGCCGTTTTTTGTAGCCGATTTGTGGGTTCGGTAGAAAAACTAATGCTCTTCCTCTTTGTAAGGGATTCAATAAAATGTAATTATGGTCCCCATCAACTATTTAGATGGCTGTTTTGGACGTTAATGAATAATGTGGCTTTTATGCTCTCCAATATAGAGCGCTATAATGCCCATGTCGGCGCTTCGCGTGCCGAGGGCTGCGGCCCCGCGCCGCCTTGCGTGCCGCGCCGCCAGCCACCGCCACCGCCACGGCCACGGCCAC